ATTGGTGTAGATATTAAAATAGGCACGAGAATGAATAAATTTGATAAACCAAGGAGTCCATATTCTTTCTCCCATCTTCTTGTACCATCCTGTTGTCACCTGCAGATAATCCACAAACAGGTTTTTTTTATTTTTTCATTTTAAAAGACAAATTAAGAACGAAATACCACCACATAAAATCAATAATCATGAATACCATGCCATCAAGTATTGGCTTGATGCCCTTCGCCTTGTGCTCATCATACCACAATCTAAACTCCTTCCAAGGCTTTGGAAAGAGAAGCTGACCCCAAGTGCCAACCAACTGGTACAAAAACAATCTGGTACTGTCATCCAACCTTATTTTGTTGCCATGTTTACCTATGGACAGCAAAGAATAGGCATGCCTCAGACAGATGGTGGAAAAGTTGAACACATGTATCTAGAACTTCTAGCCATGTGTGCAGGAAAAGAAAAGAGAAGAAAAAACGAAGAAGCATTTTCTCACATTTTTTACAGAAGTTGTAAAAATTTGTTTTGAACAATCGAACCTTGGAAGAACAGTTTGATTTAGAAAGATAAAAAAAGAAACTGAAGGCATGAGAAACAAATCACTCCTTTAAACCTCATAAAGATCTGTAGTATTCATTCGTAAAAGACAATTAACATAATGCTGAAAACTGCAAAATAAAATGAAAAAGAACTTCTTAGCATTCAAGATAGATCTACTACTATAAGAAGTTCTATCCGTATAAAGTTGGATCCAATTGTAAGGTTCCAAAGGACAACAATGGAATCAGAGTGCACTAACTAGATATGCTCCTCATTTGGAAGTTGGATGTAAAATTTACAACGATGCAATTCATTCAGGAATCACTAAGGATCCAAAAGGCAACAGTTAGAGTTGTGAAGTTTGAAGTCCCTTGACCTCCAATCTAGTTAGCATAGACAAGCGACTATGTTCAAATTTGAATAAGAAAAAGAAACATCATCTTATAATCTTAAGAGTGAACAAAAGGTGGTAACCTTCAATCCACGGACAGTTAAGTTTTCCCACAAATCCCTAACACCAAGGACCTGTTTCTTGTTACCCTCATGTTCCTTCAAGCAGGTCTCATTGCGCCCACAAGATATTAGCTCCAACAAGATGAACACAAGCTAAGGAGGATAAACTTGAGTACCAAAAGGAAAAAGTCATAATGCACTTGTGAAAGAGAGGTATATTAACATTTTATAGATGAACTTCTGCAACTGGGGGAAAAAAAACTTAACCAGATGTTCGTTACACTTTAATTACTACAAGTTTGATCTCTACTTAAATGAGCCACTATTACATATAGCAACAACATACAGTTTGTGAAGGCATATAATTCGAAAGGTCACAACATACAGTTTTTGGATATAGATCGGGGGTCAAACTGAAAACAAATCTTACTACCGCTAAAATAACGAAATAGAGCTATAAAATCAAGAAATTTAATAGCAGGCCTTGGAACTTCAACCAATTGAGAAATTCACCCCTCCCCCCTCCACTTTGTATCATTTGGTCAAAAGAAGAACAAGTTACATGAATATATCTAAATTTTATCTACATATATTTGTCAGATCCATGCACAGGACATCATCCAAAAGAAAAGTGGTACCTGGAACAAACCTTGGTCGCTGCAGCGAAGCCCCGTATATTGAAGGATCATAATTCGAAGTGTTATAATAATAAATCAAAATTAAACTCCTCAGGAACTTATAATAAAGCGGCGATAACTCCAAATCATCCTCCACAATGAAAGCAAACTCATTGTCAGAGCTCGGCCACCAAGCCTCCAACCACTGCGCTTGCAAACCCACGTTCCCCGTCCGATAATGAATTAGCTTTTCCCCAAAATTCCAAACAAGTTTATCAACAAATTGCAAGATCCGATGCGACTCGTTGAGGTTGATATGCGCATCATCGTGAGGGAAATGATCAATGTAAACATGGAGATGTACGCGGTCGGCGAGATAATCCGCATTGGCAATGGACCGAAGGCAGCGGGACACGGAATCGAGGCGATTGTAAGCAAGAACTTTCACGATTAGAGTGAAACCAGAGGTTTTAGGGTCGGTGACTCTCCCGGTAAGAGCAAAATTAGGGTTAGGGTTTGAAGGGAAGTAAGGGGGAACGGAAGAGTAGAAGTGAGTCAAGAAGAAGAGGATAGAAACAGAGACAAGGAGGAAGAGAGGAAGAAAACGCCTCTTGTGACCGACCATTTTCAGAGAGAGTGAGAGAGCAATTACAGAATCATTGATGATAAAAGCGGCAGTTACCGACCTGATACTGCCGGAGCTGGGGAGAATGATGACGGATCAGCTACCAGCTCGCCGGAAAGTGAGGGTCGCGTCGGGATACTCTCCAGTCTTGATTCTCGCGAAGTGAACAAACAGTTTAGTCGGGTCGTTATATACGCTACTTCGCGGCCTGAAGGTGAAAAGAAATTAGTGGGTAAGGGTAAAAAGGTAAAACGATAATAAAATATAAATTAAAATAAACAATTTTGGATCTGGTGGTCATGGGCCTATTTTTTAAAATTTTTGATGGGCCTAGCCTTATTTTCTATCAGGTGATTGAACCAATCTCAACCGTTGAAAATCCGAAGAAATGAAGTCAACCAAATCAACGGCCCAAGGCAGCCAGTTCCATTGCCTCCCTTATTTCACCTGAGAATCGGAGCCCACATGGACTCGTGTACCATTTCGAGTCTGAGTTTTGGATTCTTTCAATTCGTGGAGTCATCTTTATCTTCATCTTCATCGCTTGATGTAGGTTGTCCAAATTTTCGGTTCGAGCGCTAAATTAGCAAGCTCGAGAACTGTGAATCAATCGAAGTTTGGATATCGTTTGGATTAAATCATGGAGCGTCTATGAAGGTAGAGAGGATTTTGTTTCTTTTCGTGAACTGAACACGAACAGGTTTGTTTCTGTCTTTGATTATCTTTCGTTTATCTCGCTGATTTGTCTTTGATTTTCGATTCAACTTCGGACTTTCATGAATTTTTTTGTCTCGGTTTCATTTTCCTCCGTTGCCGAGTTCTCGTCCATTTCTTAGCAGCCTGCCCTTTCATTGATTTGAAAGGTTAGTACTGGCGTAGCGATGTCTCCGAGTCAACTTGCGATACTTTTTCTTTAGTTTATCTAAAAATGCATCCGATTCGGCTCGATTCAAGCAAAGTTGCGAGTGCATTTGTATCGTGTACCGATACATCTCGGTCCGATTAGACTTCAGTTCCACGCTCAAGAATTTCTTCCTCGATTTTCATATTTATCACTGAATCTACCAAATAAAATAGTACTAGGAGAACAAGTTTGATGTCAAATTTTCTCTTGTGAAATTTGTTTTCTGAAATTACACAGACTTGAGCAAGAAATGGCTTTGGAGGAGAGAAATCTTGTTGAAATCTTGGAAGAGAACGTCCCAATCGATATAGTAAAATACATCAAGTTTGTTAGTGTTCCCCAGGCCGGCGCTGTCTCTACATTTTCAGGCACTACTCGGGACAATTTTGAAGGCAAGACGGTGGTGGAACTGCGCTACGAGGCTTATGTACCAATGGCAATACGGAGTCTCAAATCCATTTGTTCATCTGCAAGGTCGTCTTGGAACCTTCATTCAATCGCAGTTGCGCACCGACTAGGTCCTGTTCCTGTTGGGGAGATAAGTGTGTTCATTGCAGTTTCAGCTGTTCATCGAGCTGATGCAATGGATTCTTGCCGGTTCGTGATCGATGAGCTCAAGGCGTCTGTGCCAATATGGAAAAAGGAGGTTTATGATAATGGGGAAGTTTGGAAGGAGAATTCTGAGTTTATGGACAGAAGATTGGAGATTGGGAAGAAGGAAGGAGATGTGAGTGAAGAAAATGAAGCTGAAATTCTTCCAAGGCATGGTAGGAAAACCTGCTGTGGCTCAAAGGTTAAGGTGACTGAAGAATCTTCTTCTAGCTGCATTAGTTCAGAGCATGAAAAGAACCATCAACACAATGTTGAGAAGGAAAACGAAGAAGATGAAGTTCAAAGGCATATAAGGAAAAGCTGCTGTGGCTCGAAAGTTAAGGTGAATGAATGAGGAATCAACATTGATGACAGTGATGGATAGATAATTTCTTCTCTCTCTCAATGGGATTTTTTCTTTTCTGATTCAAACATTCCTGTTATACATACATTTCAAGGGCCATGAAGGGGAAGAAGAGAATCCAACACTATGTTGCTTAGAGAAAAAGATTCAAATAACTTCCTTCAATTTTTTTGTTCTGATCCAAAGTTAGTATCTTCAATTTTGAAACATTGTTTTGCCCAAAAAAAATTGTTTTTGAACTCTTAGGAAGTCATTTCAAGTTATTATCCCTGGTTGTGATTCAAAACTTCATCCCTGGACTGAATTTTTTTTTTTTTTTGTTCTGATCCAACAAAGTTGGTTCCTTTAATTTTGAAAGATTGTTTGTTTTGCCCAAAAATTTTGTTTTTGAATCCTTAGAAGGTAAGGTTATTATCTGGGGAATGATTAAAAACTTGGGAAAAAGAGGGATTCCAATTGTAAGATATCTAATCAAAAACCATGATTGGAAATTGTATGATCGGTCTTTTTCTGAGAAAGAGGACAAAAATACAATCGAATTGAATTGAATTGAAATATTGGAATCTGTGTATGATAATTTTTGTTTACTTTTAATGGCAATTTTGGGCTTGTCCAAAATTTCTCGAAGAAAAACGTTTTTAAGCTCTTAAGAAAAGAAAGTCATTTGAAACATTATTAAGGATCGTGATTCGAATTCTTGTCTGAGCACAATCTTGGGGCCTCCCCCGAGCAATTTGTGGACTTGTTTGGAATGAAATTTCTTTCGAATGGCTTAAAAAAAACATTTTATTGCGAAGAAAATGTTTTTAAAGCCATTTCAAACATTTTATCATTAGGGTCGTGATTCAAACTTCCTCCTCCACCCGAGCCAATGCATAGAGATTTGAATAAATAAATTGGAGTAATTAAGTATGAACACATCAAAAGATATATATTAGGTGAAACCCTGAGAGGAATTAATAGAGTAAGAATGCAAAAGGATTTAATAGAGTAATTAAGCATCACAGCTCTAATAATACACAGAGAGCCATATAGCAGCTAACAACAAGATGAGATCATTAACAGCAAAATGATCTCCTACACAAAAGAATAGAAGAAGGAAAACCCAACCATTATGATCATACTTCTACACTGCGATCTGGGCTGACACTTCTAGCTGGAGGAAACAGAGCAACTGCACTACGATCTGGGCTCGTATATTTCCTATACACAGCCTTCAGCTTGCTATCTGCAGCTCCACGGTGCAAGTTCATAAGGAGTTCTGCACACTCCCTGCACAAAAATTTGGACATAATTCATCAGATTTTGAAGTTTATGAAGGAAAAAAAAAAGAACTTTTGAGGAAGTTTGTGTTTAGTACTTCAACTCATCTTCAACATAGCCTGTATGGTGCTGCAATGTTGTTGTCCAGAGATGGCTCTTATCCAGTGTGCGTCGAGCAGCATAAACAGCCGCTGAAGCAATCATTGATGGGCTGTATGATATGGCTATGGGGTAGTTCATCAGACCAAGCTCAGCTAGAAAAAACACCATGTTCTCCATCTGCATTAGGAGGAAGAGAAATTTATTCAGTACTTTCTTAAGATTTCTTCGATTACCAGAAGTTTCATGTAGTTTAATGAGAATCTCACAACCCACCTCCTCATCGGACGGCTCAGAGGCCTTGACGTATCGAACAAGAAAAACATAGGGTGTAGGAACTGTTAGAAGCCATTCCAACTTCCCTAAGATTACTTTCTCCATCACCAAAATCTGTTCTCTCTGGTAAGTATTTGCAGATATACTCACAAAATCATTGACCTGCATATTCAATATCCAATTATGAGGCTGAAGGAACACAAGACAGTGATATTGGTGTCTTTAAGAATTTAGCCATTGATATACCTCTGGGGCCCAAATCTCTTCATATTTGCATGCTATCAGCATAGAGCTGACTCCTACTAATTGAAGCTCTCTCCTTGGCACAGTCTTCAAGGAAAGGAATCGGTCTACAATGTTGACAGTGAGGTAGAGGGTTTCTGGCATTAGTTCAAACTTGCGATGAACTTCAATCAACCAATCTATGAGGATGGACCTCATCTTGGCATTCAAATCTGGCTGTGTTCCCATGTAATCTGTCACTGTGTTTTCATCCTGCAGCAAAAAAGGCTTCAAATGTTACAAAAAGGGAAGAAAAGCTGCAACATAAGTAGGAAAATGAGAGCAAATAGTGGCGTACTTCTGCAAGCTTGTAGAACTTGTACATATCATCGATGTATTCAACAACTGCCAATTCATTGTTAGCATCTGCTTCATCAATATTAGCTACTGAATCCAGTGGATTATTGTTGAGCCCACAGGCAGCCTTTAGAATCAAATTTGATATACGTTACTTTAGCAGAAGATTAACAAGCAATACTCAATGAATTGGGTAAAGAAAATGGCATTACCTTGCTTCTGGCACTAAGAGTTGAAGTCAGAGTTCTCTTATTCTTATCCCTTGATTTACTATCGCTGATGTTGATTATATGTCTCCTATCGGCGGAGCTGAGTACAGTCTTAGGTTTCTCAGCTTTGCATTTCTCAATTACTGTAGCCTTCGCCGCCACATCGCCTCCCTTTCCTACTCCCCCACCCAGCTTTTGAGTGATCGCTTTCTGCAAATCAAGTTTTCATGAGGATCTGAGATAGATTTACTGCAATTATCAGGATTATTGTGCCAGATCTCTACCTTGTTCTTCTCGGCAGGTTGAGGGCCGGGTTTCCCTTCCACGGCTCGATCAGGCACCAGATTCCCTATATCTTGAAGAACTCGCCTTGTTCTTCCTTCAGCCTCTACCATCTTCGGCTTACCTTCACCTTCAAAATCAATACAGTCAAATGATAAGTGAGGAATTCAAGGAAATTCCAAAATCAGTTACAGGATGAAAGGAGGAAAAAGTCAGGAACCAAACAAGCCCCCTAACAATAAGAAAAAGATCGAAGAACCAGGATCAAGACAAGTCGATAACAATACAGTAAAATCAGGACCGAAAGGTAACTACAATGAGAATAAACAGTCTACATTCCGAAAGATAGCCATCGAAAACAAGAATTGTTAAAGTTTCACAAGAAAAATCGAGATGAAGTGATAAATGTAGGTTAATTTTCCACACCTCTGATTCGTAGTGGTTGCTGCGGAGCAACAGCTCGAGCCGCCATTAGTTCTTCCTTACTTCCGAAAATTCCTTCAAGACTTGGAAACAGAGAGAAAAGAAAGAGTTGGAGACGGCTGTTGAGCGTCTCTCCTTCAGTGTTTCTCGTCGCCACTCCGTCGTTCACATACACTCTTCTTCTTCTTCTTCTTCTTTCACTTTTCTAACGATCGTTCTCGCTTTTTTCCTCTGAGAATTTTTCAGTTTTTCTCTGCGTTTCCGTATCGATTGCTCTCTGTGGCATTGTGTCGTTTCCTCTTTAAAGCTGCGAGCGGAGCCAATGCCTGTCCCAACGGTCTGATTTCCATGAAATGATGACCGTTGGATGGGCATCGCATCCAGCGGCCAGAGTACCGTCTGATTGTAATTTGGAATTACTAGCCGTTAGGAGGAGAGCCTGAATAGGCACTTAAGCGACAGGCTGGAGTTGGACGCTCCGATCCGTTTAGATTGGGCTTGTTCACCTTTTGTTATCGAGTTGGGCCGAATCTTTAGTTGGGCCCAGTAAGTTAGAATAGAAATTCACGGCTTTAATAATATTATTATTATTATCATTTTTTAAAAGGAAAATATTTTAATTATTTCCCATTTCTACTTTTACATTTAGATTTTTTTTTTTCCATTATCTTTTGCTATTGTAATTTTGGCGCAATGATTTGAAACTTACTGTCAATTGAAATATGTTGGAGAGCTTAAACATTGTTTATTTAATTAAAATATTAAGAATTTATCGGTTGATATTCAAATTCTACCTTAGAAAAATAATTATATTAATAGTATTCTTAGGGAGTGTGATTAAAATTTCCTACGGTGCGTGATTTTGATGACGTTTAATTTAAAGCATATTAGCTTAATTAACTTTTCAGATTTGAATTAGTTTAAACTAAATTAGGTTAATTCTAAACGGTTAAAAATTCAAATCTCTCGAACTTTTTCGTAAGAATTTCATGTATTTACCTTCACTTAGCTATGTTTTTATGTTCTTAAAAAAATTGATAATCGAGCTATATGTTGCTAGTCCTTCTCTTTGTACTCGATGTAAATTATTATCTTATCAATTGATAATCGAGGTGCCTGGATAGCTGCTTTTTTGTTCTGTTTCGAATCAAGGTCTTTTGTCACGAAGTCATCTGCCTCAACCGAAATAGCAAGCATATAATGAAAGAGGTGAGGTGTTGATTCCTCAATCGTTGACTAATTCATGCAATCTCCTGAGCCGGATAAAGCAGAGCCTCATCTCATCTGTTGTAGGCTCAAAAAGTAAAATCAATTATCTAGGTGACTAATGAAAGCAAATCACTCTAAAGGCTTAGGCTCAAACTATCCTTATGCCTTAGAGACTGAACAAAGATAGGATACCGCTTGGCATACTGCATCTGAGGAAGAATTCCAACTATTAATTCGACTGGAAGCGAGAGATACTACGGTGAGGGAAGAGACTTTATAACCTTGTAGGAAGGCCAACAACTTTGACTGCAGTGGAGGATACCACATATACGAAATACCATAGATTGACACAGAGAGAAGATCTCGGCCACTTCTATCGGGACCTTGGCTTAACCTTGAATTAGCCACTAAGATCACCAATGCCTGAAATGCGTAAGAAATAACTACTGATTGGGATCGCTGAGAATCCTTGATAATCGAGCTACATGTTGCAAGTTACTCTCACTCCACCACATATATATATATATATATATATATATGACCACCTTTCCTTTCCAACATTAGCCATCCCCCACATTCCTCTACTATTTTTTCTTAAATTCTTTTGAAACTTATATTTTTTAAATAATAACTTTGACTTTAAATAAAGAAAATATTATTTATATTACTATGAATATTATTTAGTCATGGGATAATAAATATAATATAGTTTACTATTACGTGATATTAACATCTACCGTTTAAAATATTACCCATGTTGATAGATATCTCTTAGAATATAAGATAGCTAATTGAGAAATAATTAAAATCTCGTAAAACAAAGGTATATATAATATCTCATTATTTGCGAAAAAATGGAGTCCATGAAACTATAGCTAAATTAAATTAGTTTATGAGTATTCTAAAGCCTAAAACCAGGAGTAATTACAAGGGCAAAGAGCTGGCAGTACATGTCACACACTGCTGGCTCAAGATAACCAAGAAATAGAGTGCCTTGCATTCTTGAAGGTTCAGTTCAAGCTGTGGACCTACCAGACCAGGAAGTTGGTATTGCCAGATCTCTACCTCAAAGCGTCCAAGAAACTTACAGCATCATTTAGAGCCTGGATAAAGTAGTCCACGTCCTCTTTTGTGTTGTAGAAGTAAAGGCTAGCTCGTGCACTCGCGGTCACGCTGAGTGCCCGATGGAGGGGCTGCGCACAGTGGTGTCCTGATCGGATGGCTACACCGTGCTGCATTAAAATATTTTCACCGACGTGAGAAGGGTTAAAAGTAGGGTTCAATTTCTAATTCAGATATAGTACCTGTTGATCAAGAAAGGATGCAATGTCGGTTGGGTGAATGTTTTCAATATTGAAGGAACATAGCGCAGCTCGTTGAACACTTGCTGTGGGAGCTGGGCCATATATGTGAATGTTAGGCACTGCACGAAGGCTTTCATACAGATAATTCGCCAATTCAACCTGTTTGCAGACAGATGAGCATCAAAGCTAGTAAACATATTTATCATCTCTATTCTAGATTTTCAGTTTTCAGAGTTCCAAGTAACCTAATTTTCCTCTCTTTTTACCTCCATAGTGTCTGGGTCTGAGGTCAGGTTATGCCACCTCGATTATTCTCACGGGGTGGACAACCATCTGATTCTACCACATTTGGTCGCTAAGGTAATTCATAGGGTATTAAGTCAGGTTATGCCACCTCGATTATTCTCATTGGGTGGACAACCGTCTGATTCTACCACATTTGGTCGCTAAGGTATTTCATAGGGTATCAAGTCAGGTTATGCCACCTCGATTATTCTCATGGGTGGACAACCGTCTGATTCTACCACATTGGGTCGCTAAGGTAATTCATAGGATATCAAGTCAGGTTATGCCACCTCAATTATTCTCATTGGGTGGACAACCGTCTCATTCTACCACATTTGGTTGCTCAGGTAATTCATAGGTATCAAGTCAGGTTATGCCACCTCGATTATTCTCATTGGGTGGACAACCGTCTGATTCTACCACATTTGGTTGCTAAGGTAATTCATAGGGTATCATGTCAAGTTATGCCACCTCAATTATTCTCATTGGGTGGACAGCCGTCTCATTCTACCACATTTGTTGCTAAGGTAATTCATAGAGTATTAAATCCCCAAATGAGATGCATATGTCAAAATACAATCAACTCACTTCATAACTATGAATCTTTTGCATGCCGATTCCAGACAAATAATCAATAGCAGCTCCCAACCCAATTGCCTCTCCAATTGCTGGTGTCCCAGCCTCAAATCTAATGGAGCAGAAAATGAGTTATTAATAGAAATAGACATCACAAAATTATAGAACCATTCAAGAAGTCAGTTATTTGGATCTTACGATTACTCCAAATACATGAATTATCAAGTACGAAATTATCATTATGTTAAAAGACAAAGAAAAAGACAAAATTGCATGCAGTTCACCAACCTGGAAGGAGGTTCTGCATATGAGGAATGGTCAAGAAATACATCTGATATCATCTCTCCACCGCCTAGAGCCATGTAGGACCAAATAAGGACATTAAATAATGACTTCTCATTAACTATCTGATACATTTTTATTTACATAGAGTTACCTAAGAATGGAGGCATTGCAGACAAGAGCTCACTCTTTCCATATAAAAATCCAATGCTTGTAGGCCCACACATCTGAAGCATGTTTATTCCTTAACTTCATATGCACAAATGTAAGGCTCAAGATTTTATTAGTAAGAAAATTTCCTAACCTTGTGAGAAGAAGCAACAAGAAAGTCAGCATCAAGCACCTGGACGTCAACAACCATATGTGGAACACTCTGGCATGCATCTACTACCACTTTTGCTCCAAAACGATGTGCCCAGCCAACTATTTCTTCAATTGGAAGAACAGATGCTGCAGAAAGAACCAAATCAAACTGAATTCCACTATGTACGTAGAGTTGATATTAAAAGGACATCCAACTATTTCTTCAACCATAATTTGGATTATTTGATCATCTAAAATAAAATCAAGTCAAGAGAAGGGGGAATGTCCTGTTCTTCTTTTCTTTCCTTCTTCATTCATTGAGTTGTATTGTTATCAAATAGAAGAGTGTACCTAGTACGTTTGAGACATGATGGGTAACCACAAGCTTCGTTTTTGTTGAAAACATCTCCTTGAAATCTTTCAAGTTTGGAACTTCATGTTCACCTAAATTCACAATCTTCAGAACAGCACCAGTCTTTTGAGCTACAATTTGCCAGGGGACAATAGCACTGTGATGTTCAGCAACTGTAATTATGACCTGTACTGAAAGAAAAAATAGTTAATACAGTGTGAGGGTCCATGCACTTAGAAAATAATGAATGCAAGCAAAAGCACTTTTATTAACTTAAATCCAACTTCAGAAACACCTTCATAAAGAACTCACAGCAATAAAACCAAACTACACACAGACACAGATAAGTTCAATGAAGCACAGCCTAAAACTGAGTTTTTATGAGTTTTTAAAAAGCTCCACCTTAGACAATCAACAAGAATACGATCAAGTATAAAATGTAAACCCATTGAAATAGACAGATTTTAATGGGAAGTGCAAAGCTTCTCCATACCCATTCCATGAAACTCAAACAACTTGAACTTCCAGCCCATAAAATTTAGTATGAAACTCAAACAACTTGAACTTCCAGCCCATAAAATTTATGCACTAACTGAAGATACAAGAATAGAGTCACAAAATGCATGAGGTCTTGACACAACCCTATACACCGTTTACATGTTACTCTAAGTAATATGCATGCATTGACTTTTATACGTTCATCATCATTAACATCAATTTAGGGTTGTGTCTTAGAAAACTCATCATCATAATGCATTGTGGCATTTAATACATGCACATCCTCTTAATATGGAATAACATCATATTAAGTTATCTCATCATCATACATCTTACATCGTCACATTATCATGCATCATCATCATGTCACGTCCCAATTTATGATGATGAGTACGACGCGAACAATATGATGATGAACATCAGCATGCCTCGCATGATACTCGAGAGTCCGCTGACCTCCAAACGTTGTTACGGACAACTAACTCAACT